CATCGAGGCCGCCCCACCCGCCGCCCCACGGCCGAACGCTTCCCGCTGCGTTTGAGCAGGGGTGCGACCTCGCCCACACAGGGCATCCTGCTGGGGCAGGTCCGCGAGCGGAGCCATTTGTCATATTTCTGTCTCCAGCTCTACTTCAGAGTCAGCGGGAGGAGACAGGAGAAGGGCGGCCCTGACACCGGTGGTGAGAACTGTGGGCTCAGAAACGTCACGCAGTGGAGAAACGAGAAAAATCAGCCGGAAACGCTCGGCCTTCCACAGGCAGAGGCTGGACTAGGCCGGTGCAGCCCAAGTTCAACGGTGAGGGAAAACCCAGGTTAAAGTGTGAATGAAACGCTAGAGACACTGGCTCTGCCAGGGTGGACGCCGGCACCAGGGTCTCACTCCCCGGGTCCTCGGGGGCCATGAGGGCACAGGCCAGCAGGAGGGGCAGGGCATTACCTTGGAGTCACCGTTGTGGAGGTCAGAGGGCAGGAAGCGGTAGGGGAGGTGGCTTTTGATGAGGCGGGGTGACGTCAGTTCCTGTAGGGGGTCGGGGAGAGGCGGTCAGTCCCACGGGCCTCAGGGCCTTTCCCATGGGGCGGGCGGCGAGGGTCTCAGACGGTCGGGACCAGCGCTCCGCCTGACAAACTTCCCGCCCGAGGCAGGACCACCCTCCGGGCTGAACCTCGGGCCAGATGTGAGCAAGATGCTCCCGTCCTCGGGCACCCACAGCCCGAGTCGGCCTGTCAGTCACCAGGGTCTGCCCGGAGGACCAGGGCGGGCCTTGAAGGGCAGCAGGGGAGGCATGAGGCAGAGGGGCAGCTGGGCCCTCAACCATCTCAGCAGGACGCCTTCCTGAGGCTCCGGGAGTGTGCCAGGCCCTCTGCCCCGACTCGGCCATCCAGTGCCGCTGGCTCCCCATTGGGCACACTGGTCACCCCTTAACCGCCGCTCCTCCTTGTTGCCTCCCGGTCCATCTCCCTCACTGCATGTCAGCTCTGAGCGCTGTACCCCGATGCCAAGGGCAGTGCCGGCCACGGGTGCCCAGCGCAGCACTACGCACGGGCTCAGCGGACGAGTCAACACAGAATACTCAACCAGTGGGACAAGGGACAGGCGGTCCACGCTGGAAATGCCACCTGAACTAAGGTGGCAGAGGGGAGGGTGGAGAGAACATTCCAGATGCACCGGAGGGATGGAATGGACAGGAAATTGGGGTGTTTATTTCATTCCTGACACCAAAAATTTGATGCAAATGCATCCTACCCAGCTCCCTGAACAGACGGGGTAAACCACAGGGCAGGGGAGATGACGCAAGGCCCGCATCCCCACTGCCTCCTGCCCCCACTCCCGGCACCTGCCTCCTTTCTACCTTGAAGTCACCCACGTCAACCACCCATCGATTCCAGATCGTCACGGGTTCAGGCCTATCTCCTGGCTACCTGGGGTGCCGGCAGCTCTCTGCTCTTTCCCCGCCCACAGGGCCCCCCCACCCCCACCCCTCGGGAGGAGCTGTCACCTTGATGATGTCCAGGCCGGGTTGCGGGTACTCCAGGACCGGGAGCTGCTCGTCGATGTTCATCAGGCCGATCTCATCAGGGTCTGCGCCCTGGCTCACCAGGTAGACCACCTCCTGCAGCAAGCTTGTGCCTGAGGGAGGCCGGGGAGGCGCTCAGAGGCCAGGGCGGGGCCCTCTCAGCTCAGCACTCGCCCAAGGAGGGGCTGAAGGG